CGTTGGCATTTTGCACCAATGTCTCTCTCAAAGACTTTGGTATTTTGGCTAAGACGTCATCGACATCCCAATGTTCCCTGTATTCTGGTTCTTCGTAAACCTCTTCATACTCACAATCACTATCACAATACTCACACATATTGGTGATAAAGAGATAGGACAAATAAATTCTTCTCGGTTTGAAATGAAAAGACCGAGAGAGACAAGAAAAATAATGTGGTGAACCGTTGCTTGAATGAATGGCCAACGATTCACTTGAAGAAAACTCTCCTTTTGGTTTGAATGAATGACCGAAAGGGAGAACAAAATTCTGAAAAATGAAATGAGCAGGCTCCTCTTCGGTATACACACAACCGAGAGGGAATATGCTTCGATTTCGCAGCGGAATTAAAAAACACAAGGTCCTCTAGACCTTATGCTCTGATACCATGAAGAAATTAGTGTAATTTGAGTTTGTTTGAGAATACATAACAATGAAATTAAAGAGAAAAGTTTATTGAATAAGAGAAGACGAAAATATGAGAAAATGGAGGAACAAAGTTTAAACCAAGGGCTACGAAATATAGAGCGGTATAAAGCTCGGTTAGTCGCCAAGGGCTACACACAAACATACGGCGAGGATTATACAGATACTTTCGCTCCAGTAGCGAACCTCAAGTCGGTACGTGTCATTTTGTCCTTGGCTGCTAATCTCAATTGGGAATTATGGCAGATGGACGTGAAAAACGCCTTTCTCCAAGGCGATCTCGAGGAGGACATATACATGCAACCTCCGCCAGGACTACGTGACACGATCGGCAAAGACAAAGTCTGTAAGCTCAAGAAATCCCTCTACGGTCTCAAACAATAGCCTCGGGCATGGTATCATAAACTGTTTCTTGCCCTCACTTCGTTTGGTTTTTCCCGAAGTGAAGCTGACCACTCTCTTTTCGTTCGCAAAACGGACCATGGTATAATCACTTTACTCATTTACGTAGATGATATTATCATCTCCGGTAGTGACTCCAAGGGTATTGCAGAAACTAATCTTATCTTCATCATACCTTTGATATCACCGATCTCGGTACCCTTAAATACTTTCTGGGTATCGAAATCCTTCGTTCTTATGATGGCTTATTCTTATCACAAAGGAAATACACTCTTGATCTTCTAAGTGAAACAGGAAAGCTAGGATCTAAACCTGTTCGAACGCCTTTAGAAGCAACTCACAAGGACAAGACCGACGACGATCTTCATGATGATCTGGAGCAATATCGGCGTCTGGTTGGTAAGTTAATCTACCTTACTATAACTCGCCCTGACATAAGCTTCTCTGTTAACCAGGCTAGTCAATGGATGCACAAACCGACGAAACATCACTGGCAAATTGTCGACAGAATCTTACGCTACTTGAAGGGCACAGCCAGGGTTTAGGGTTTAGGGTTTAGGGTTTATGGTTTAGGGTTTAGGGTTTAGGGTTTAGGGTTTAGTCGGAATCTGGATGCAAAACAGAGGGGATACTGGGATCGTGGCCTACTCGGATTCTGATTGGGCTGGCGATCGACACGATCGGAAGTCCACTACAGGCTATTGCACGTTTGTCGGCGGAAACCTTGTCACTTGGCGAAGCAAGAAGCAGACGGTTGTTGCCCGCTCAAGTGCAGAGGCCGAGTATCGTGCTATGGCAAGCACAACCTGCGAGATGATTTGGTTAAAAGGTCTCCTCCGAGATCTTGGCGTGGAAAACTCAGAAGCAATGCCCTTACACTGTGACAATCAGGCAGCAATCCATATCGCTGCAAATTCCGTCTTTCACGAGCGTACAAAACACATTGAAATAGATTGTCACTTTATCCGGGAACACATCACCAATGGAACCATCAGCACTCACTACACTCGCAGCTCGGATCAACTCGCCGATATCTTTACGAAAGCAACAAGTTCCTTCGTCCTCAATGACCTGATGTTCAAGATTGGTCTTGTCGACAATCGACGACCAACCTTGAGGGGGAATATTGGAGAGGAAGACTCAAAAGCAAGACCAGAAGCTGAAGTCTCGGAATCAAGAACTGAAACTTAGCCAACCACCATGGAAGCATCCACCGAGAATGGAAACAAACCATTCCCAACAGATCACGTTAACTCCTCTGCTGGATATGGAAGGTAGCAGCAATCATAGTGCTGTCTCTGATATGAATCTCGTGTAAATATTTAGTACACTCATTTATAGGCTAGAATGATTTACTTGACTTATTCTTCACACTGTAAACTTCTGTATAAATCCTGGAATAACAATCAGACCAAATCATCGAGTTCTCTAGCTCTTGGTCTTTCACTGTTCATCACAAATCACTTTCCTGCTCTAGATTTCTTTACGAAGTTTCGCGCGAACGGAACAGTAGGATTTTTTGCAATCGTATCAGGAGTTTGGATTAGGTATTGAAGAAGGTGGATCGAGTAATCCAAGATACTATCATGTCGAGACAACAAACTGTCTCGGTGGATGAAAACCGAATGCTGCATGATTGATATCGTTTCACACATTAACTTTGGGTTGTGGTTGCCTTGTGTAGAATTGATACGTATTGGTTAATCTCTTGATGATTTCCATTTTCTTTTGGGTTCCCATTTCTTTTGGTTTCAGCATTTTGGCTGGGTTGTAATTAAACTTTGTTAGGCAAAATAAATTTTCACATTAAACAAAAAAAAAACTATTTGGGAAAAAAGAGAGATGGGTATGCGCCTCATTTAAATTTTGTGAATGTTATAAATAAATTAAACTGAATTAGTTATAAGTAAACTGAATTGAAAACCACCAGCAGAGGTTTCTTAGATTCGAAAATAAATGACAAATGAATTAATGCAGAAACAAAAAAAAAACGAAAATCATAATTAATAAAAACATCTGATCACCGCTTATACGTAATATATTTCACCATGTAAGATTATAAAGCAACAATAAAAAAACAAAAACAAAAAACAAAATAAAAAGGAACATTATGGGGAAGACAATGATGTTCTTGGTGACATTGTTCATAACCACCATGGCCGCTTATCCAACCCACGCGTACGAAAATGACGGAGAATCGATGTTACAGGGACGTTGGGCCCCATGCACCGTCTGCATGATTCATCTAATTAAACTATATATGACGTCATATACATATTATATATATGTGTTTGATATATATTTTTTCTATCTATATAATAATAAGTTATAATATAATGTTGTTTTTATTATTTTATGTTGACCCTTTTCTACTATTCGTGGTTTGATCGGTATAAATTTTGGAATACCCGAAATTTTGAAAGTACCTAATTCTAAATCCGAATATTTTGGAACTCGATTTCTTATCCATAGTTTCGGCTACTTAGTAAACGTTTGGACTTTTGGATATCCGAATCCAATTATCAATTCTCGATTCTCATTCGAAATTTTCATTAACGACCGAAATGTTTGGATGCAAGTGAACTAAGAAGTCGAGTCGTGCCCAAATGGTTGTAGAGTGTGGTTGAGGTATCACTTATCACGAAGGTCTCACGTTCAAATTTTGGATCGGAAAGAAAAGATATAATTTAACTATAGTAAGATTATCTTTTGGTCCAAGGTAGATGATGTAATTGGACGAAAATCGATTATGTGTTCTTATTTTGGGATTAAAAAAATAAAGATATATTAATAGTATTAACTTTAACAACAAAAAATATATATTAATAAAAAACGTAGGGTATTTTGGTCATTTCTATGCGTACTCGGTAATCTGATCATGAAATTAAAAAATGACCTACGAATGATCTTACTCGTAAAACCCGAATTCATACCAATTCTCCTCGGAAAATAAGATAATTTTGGCAACATAACGAAGTAATCTATAAATTCTCCAATCACAAACTGCAATTATGTATGAATTTGGTGACCGAATCATAATTGGAAAACTTGAAATGTCAATCTGAGTCGAAGTTATTGTTATTATTAGAAAAGTAACTTAAAACAATTAATATATCCTATAAAAATAAAAAAAAATATATCTTTAATTTTATTTTATGAAAATCGAATATTAATGCAAACCAAATGATATCTTAACGAAACCATATAAAATCAAATGGAGTCAGGTTGAAATTCGTTGTTGATTTAATTGTGCAGCACTACAAAAAAAACGAATTATAAGGCAATAAATAATACCATTTGCAGTTTTAATTATACATTATTAATTTCCAATTAATTAAAAACATAACGACGGTTTCAAGAACTAACATTTTCGAGCAAACCATTGAACTTAATTACGTACCCCAAAAAAAAAACCATCGATGAAAAAAATTTTCATCAAATGACAATAAGATCAACGATTCCATGTACCATATACATCATGTAAATGGCTTCTTCTTCATCGTCAAACCGTAATTGCAAAAGAAAATAAGAACATAAAAATTGCTAAGACATTTCTCATAGCATTGCTCGTATCTGCGCTTGCGACTCATCCATCGACTATTATAAATAAATTAAAACTTAACAAAAAACAATGGGACAAACCTAAAAAATCCTTCAACTATCGTACTTACACAAAAAAAACCTTCTATTTAAAATTCATTATTAAAAAACCATCAACTATTAATTTTAAACAAAAAAACCATCAACTATATAAATTATTTAAAACTAATCATTTACTTTAAATTTGTTATAAAAAACTATCAACTATTGATTTTAATAAAAAATTTATCATCTATCTAAATTACTCAAAAGTATACTGTTTTTATAAAGAAGGACATGACGTTAATTATAAGCAAACTGAATTCTCTTCAATACCATAATAATCAGTCTCATAACGCAAAATCATCAGTGGAGGTTTCTGTGGATTCGAAAATAAATGACAAATGAATTAATGAAGAAACAAAAAAAAACCGAAGATCATAATTAATAAAAATATCTTGTGATCACCGCTTATATATACATACATATATTTCATCATGTAAGATTATAAAACAACAAAAACAAAAACAAAAAACAAAATAAAAGGAACATTATGGGGAAGACACTGATGTTCTTGATGACATTGTTCATAACCACCATGGTCACTTATCCAACCCGCGCATACGAAGACGACGGGGAACCGATCGTCGATCCAAACAACAGATTGCAAATTCCGGTGGGCGAATCTCCGGAGGCGAACGACTACAATCGGAAACTGTTCAAAGGGTATTCGGGTCGAGACCTGAAGCATTTTCTCAACATGTGCATGATGTCATGGGAATGTGGTCTTGATATTTACGAAGAGATGTTACAGAACAAAAGATCTTCCGATGCTTGCTGTCTTGAAATGTTGGAGAAAGGCAAAGACTGTCACATTGCAATGGCTAGGTTTTGGTTCTCGTTGTATGAGTTCAAACAATATGCTTCTAGAGCTATTCCCAAGAGTTATGTTGTATGGAACCGATGTTACAGAGACGTTGGGCCCCATGCACCGTCTGCATGATTCATTTGATTAAACTATATATGACGTCATATACATATTATATATGTGTGTGTTTGATATATGTTTTCCCTATCCTATATAAATAACAAGTTATAATACTGTTTTTATTATTTTATTTGATCATTTTTTGCTATCCGTGGTTTGATCGGTTGGAATACCCAAAAATTTTGAAATTATCTGATTCTATATCCGAATATTTTGGAACTCGATTTCTTATCCATAGATTCGACTGCTGAGAAAACGCTCGAATACTTTTGGATATCCGAATCCAAATATCTATTCTCCATTCTCAGTCGAAATCTTCATTATCGATGAGAATGTTTGAATGCAAGTGATCTAAGAAATCGTGGTCAATTTACGACCGTATTAGGGTTTGAGAAAAATGTTTCTCTTGTGTATATTCTCAAATGATACACATGAATATATACACTTAGTTACAACAACTAGATGACATAAATTAAGGAAAGAATTACGAAACTAGTAAATACAAAAAGATATGAAAAGATATTAGGATATCTTCCTTTATGCCCCCGCAAGATGAGGCTCGTGTGCGAGGCCAATCATGAGACAAAGTAAGTCGAACCGAGCTCGAGGCAATGGTTGGATAAGAGCGTC